TGTCAATTGTCTCATAAGTTAAGTTTTTGAATTAGTCAAGAAGTCTATTGTTAAAAGATAGTTATGTCACAAAAGTTTTCGTCTTCCTTGCCTCAAGGCTCTGCCAAGACTTGTAGGCATTCGTCTTATTCACGTTCTTATTAACATAAATATTTATCTCAGTTCAAAAATAGCATTCAGTCGTAATCGTAACAGTATAAATGTTGTATCGGAGTCACTGTAAGTTCAGTCTTTATTAGTCAAAGCACGGAAAAACAAACGAGCCAGTCACCCACAATAACTGATTCGAGATGGAAACTCTTCGTGGATTGAAGTTCTTCGTTCTGATGAGTATTTTACTCGCCCAGTTTTCCTTTTACGGTTGGTTAGCAAGCTTACGCGCACACTTTTTTCCTTTCGCGTGTGTGGGTTTAATTTCTTAACATAAGGAATACAAAACCCATAGTCTTTAAAAATGTAGGGTTTCAGAACGAACGAGCCTTAAATATTTTCTTGTTTTCGTGTTTTTTTTACAGACGCCAATGAGAAGCTTCAAATGACGCTTTCCGAGCCCTCCAGCTTTAAACCTCCCAATGCTGCGATATGCCCCATGTTGAGGAAACTCGAGAATCTTGGCTATAAAAAAGAAGAAAGAACATCGGTGAAGAGGCTGGGAAAAGGTGGACCGGATGCTGAAGTAAGAATCATGCATTGTTAACTTTATCAAAAATGAAACATCATTAATCGTAACAAGTCCATAGAGTGTGTTTACCCTTCACAGCACGTATCGGGGTACAAGAAAAAACTGTGCTTAAAATCAGTCTTTCCTTTGCTTCTCCAGAAAGAGGCTTATTATTACAAATTGGTGAATTGCTCAGAGAAAGCCTTGCTTGAAACTGGAAAGGAATTGAACTCATCTATTCCAGGTACTGATAATGAGTAGATCTGTCTATGCTTGGTGAGAATAATTGCCGTCGAAGTAAGGGTGCGTAACAGTTGACGTTATCCAACTGGACTTGAGAGATCCCACCTAAAGGAATTTATAATTGGCCATCGTGCAAGTGCATGTAGTAAAAAATCCAGTTTAAAGTAGGGCATTTGCCTTTAAGCCTGATCCTCAAGGGAGGGAAAGGGGAAATCGATGTGAGGAGAAGAAATGAAATTTGCCTCCCGCTAAGTTTTTCATACTTTCGGCTTTCGCGAGAAAATTGGTGAGTCATGTCGTTTTTTTTACCTTATTCGGCCATTTGAAATAACAGGAAAGAAACCAGCGTGGCTGATTTTGTAAAACGTCTTCTCACATATGAATCTCGGTATTTTTAATTCCTGCCTTCCTGATCATCTCTTAGAAGGAGGGAAGGAGAATTTAAGCCTCTTGGTGGCTACTGCGTGTAAATCGAATGTCTCCAGACATGATATTGTACAAAACTAACAAATTAATGAAAAGACAAATCAAACAGAAATGGAGTATTATGAACCTTCAGGATCCTTTGGGGGCAATAATTGCTTGAGAAATCATGCGAAAAACGAATTATTCATAACATCATACATGTATTTGTTCCTCTTCAAGGTTCTTTTGGGAAGGAAATGACTCGCGAGGTGGTTAAAGAAGTATCATTCAGGCGTTTGAAAGATGATAACGGAATGTGTAAAGTGGGTTTGGTGGTTAATTTTAGGGGAGGCCAGGACTGCGATAATACGGAGCGTAAGAAGACTGATCGTTCCCACCAAAGTATGAAGACGAAAAAGAGCCCTATTCCTCGAGAGGCTGAATTAAGCAAAAGAAGATTCCGTTTCCGTGTTCGTATAAGAATTAGAATCAAGGTCAAAGTCGCTGTGACCGTAAAAAAATAGTTCTCGTCGTAAGAGGAATGATTCATGACACGCGCACATTTAGAATGGCACATTTTTAGAATGGCCTTTTGAACGACTGTATGTTTTTTTTTTTTGTAACTATTTCAGTAGGGCTGAATGGTCTTGTAAAACCAAACTCACGTTGAATGACGGTGTATATGACGCCCTCAGTGAAAGAGGATCGCAGATTTGTGTGTATTCATTAATCTATTTCTCATATTCATGTTATCCGTGATGAAACTGCTTGTAACGTCTAAATTATGGGGGCAAAATGTGTTGTAATAAAATGAGTGTTTAAATGGAGCAAAGTCTTCCTTCTGGTTTAACTGCAAAGATAAAATGTAATAAATTTTTTAACTGTAAAAAAAAGGTTGTAAAGAAGCTTAAGAAACTCGTCTGGTTGCTTGGACAATACTCCCAAAAGTGAATGATCAGCCCTTCGCGTGACACTTACAGAGCTTAAAAATTTGTCGATCCCATCTCAATAGTATTGAAGTTGACGATAAGCTCTAAACGAAAGAGAACGCAATTTTAATAACTGGAAGGAAGGGGGTGGGCAGTGGGGGAAGGTGGAAGGGGGAGAACCTAATTAAATGTTTCCAATTTCAACTCGTTGCTTGCGATCAATAAGACAATAGCGAATCAATTCAAGAAAGCGTCCCAGAATCCCTTATACCTTGAAGTTTCTCAACAGGAGGTGATGGCATACAGTGTCAAGGGCCTTACTTAAATCTTCAGACTCGCAGTAATTTTTTTCTCATCTAATGCTTCTCTCCTATCCTCAGTAGGGCTGTACAACACAATTTCCCTCCCCCCCTTAAGAAACCAGAGCTTGAGAGTATGTCATAGAGTAGGGGACGTTGTACAAAGGCTGGATCCAGTAACATGGCAGTCGTCCAAGTGATAAATTGGTGTTTCACTTTTCGCTGGTCTTGTTTTTACTTCTAATATGAAAAGAGGAGCAGCTAGTGCATCTGGACTAGCACCATAATTTGAATAATTTGGATCCTCAAAAAACGGCAGACTTGGGTGTCACTGTCAGAAAACTTGCATAAAACCAATATTGGTTCTTTCTTAAATTTGTGACCCGTCATTTTGGTGTTCTATGGAACACCTTCAGCAAATTGCTTAAGAGTGGCTGCTTGTCAAGATCGAGAATCGCCCGTCAACGATCCTTTTGGAAAATTTTTCCCTTTTTGCCCAAAGATATCCTTTGGTAAACTATTTTCAAAGGTTTACGCTTTGAAGTTCCAGCGATCTTTAAAATTTTTATAAATTTGCGAAAATCTTGAAAACGTACGGTGGTTTTCGGTTATCCGGGAAGGAGTCTCCGCATAGCGCACCATTAAAAATTAACTGCTAAAACCAAGCCCCGTTGAGGGCTTAAAATGAAATCAATCAGCACCAAGGTCTGCACGATATGAAGACAGCTATTCTTATCCATCGCTACTACGTTAACTTCTTTTGACATATCGCGATTATCTAAGCCCTCTAAAGAACATCCACATATACATCTTATGCCTCGAAAAATGAGTGATATTTCACGCGGTAAAAATGTATCTGGTACCTAATTTTTCTGTTTTTAAATTTATATTCATGCTATATTGCTATTTCATATTCACCGTGCAACGTTTGGTGCTCGGAATCGCACTGCTTCCGACTTAGGAAATGCCTGAAGTGTTCTTGACTTGTTCTTTTTCTTGTACTTGACTTGACTGTTCTTGACGGTTGAACTAACCGCCTCCCGGTTAGCTCAACCGCCTCCCGGTTAGCTCAATTGGTTAGAGCGCTGGACTGTTGTGCGGGAGGTCGAGGTCGATGGTTCGAGCCCTGGCCGGACCAACACTCAAGGTCTTAAAATAACTGATGAGAATGCGCTACCTTTCTATAATATCAAGAAATAGATAGACATTCTAGTCTTCTCGGATAAGGACGAATAAACCGTAGGTCCCGTCTCTTGCATCTATTAATTAGTTAATTTGGTTAGGCAGGGGACGTTAAAGAACCCACTCACGAGATTAAAGTGATGTGGTCTGGCCTGTTTACTGGGAATTGGGGGAGGAGGCATCTTGAAATAAGTTTCCTTCGATTGTTTTGTAAACTGCTGATGCAGTCCGGCCAAAGTCCCCCGAAAAGTGTTGTGATGCGCATTTGATGATATCCACATGTTCATTTGGGCAATATAAATATTGAATCATTATTATTATTATTNCTCATATACGTCTCATAACCGCAGTTCACACATATGTTTCATATGTTTGTTGTTGTTTGATTTATCATCTACGGGTTTATGTCGAATTAATTTGATGGCCTGCTCCCAGTTGGCTTGTTAGCTCAATTGGTAGAGCGCTGCACTAGTATCGCAGAGGTCAGTGGTTCGAATCCCGTACAGGCCTGAAATTTTTTTCAGGTCTGATTTTCACTATTGCTCAAATAGTGCTTTACTGCGAAGGATCGTGCACATATACGTTTCATAACCGCAGTTCATACATATGTTTCATATGTTTGTTGTTGTTTGATTTATCATCTACGGGTTTATGTCGAATTAATTTGATGGCCTGCTCCCAGTTGGCTTGTTAGCTCAATTGGTAGAGCGCTGCACTAGTATCGCAGAGGTCAGTGGTTCGAATCCCGTACAGGCCTGAAATTTTTTTCAGGTCTGATTTTCACTATTGCTCAAATAGTGCTTTACTGCGAAGGATCGTGCACATATACGTTTCATAACCGCAGTTCATACATATGTTTCATATGTTTGTTGTTGTTTGATTTATCATCTACGGGTTTATGTCGAATTAATTTGATGGCCTGCTCCCAGTTGGCTTGTTAGCTCAATTGGTAGAGCGCTGCACTAGTATCGCAGAGGTCAGTGGTTCGAATCCCGTACAGGCCTGAAATTTTTTTCAGGTCTGATTTTCACTATTGCTCAAATAGTGCTTTACTGCGAAGGATCGTGCACATATACGTTTCAGAACCGCAGTTCATACATATGTTTCATATGTTTGTTGTTGTTTAAAATCCTCTTTATAAGCTCTGTATCCAACAACCGGTAAAAGAGCTCAGCAGAACTATGAACAAACTGTACTGTGGTGTTTACCTTTTGTTTTAGTAACATAACATTGAAACATTGTAACAAGGGTTGCCTTTTATTTAACAAATCTTACGTGATCAGAAAAAACAAGCGCGCGCGGAAAAATAGTCTTAGTATTTGCTCACGTCAGCAGCATACACCCATGCTAAATTAAGCAATCAGAGCGCGCGCTTTGCTTTAGTTATGTTATAATCAGTAACTGACGATTAAGAGCGAGTCTCCGTTCATTTTTCCTCTTCTTCCCTTTCTAAGTCTGCTAAACTAAAGAGAAAGTCAACTTCATGATGACTTTTGGCAAACACGGTTGCATTGATTCGATAGTCTCCTTTGCCTCGCTAAAATTACTATCCTCCCGAGCTACTTGCAAATCAGCTTCATCTGGAGGCAATCTGTGAGACTGTGAGGAATTCCGATGACTGGAATAGTCGTGCACCATCGGTGCCCCAGACTTGCCGCAGTGCTTCTTTTAAGCCGAGTCTTTAAAAAAACACTAGTGCAGCTGTCTTGACGACATGAAGAAATCCCTGGTGCCTGGCCATACTCCATGGAAGCATCAGAAGATGCTTCTTTAGCCACATTCTTCATCTATTGACGATCTGTGGTGTGTACTTTTAAAGGAACAGAAATCTCTCGCGGAAAATGACAACTACAGTATCTCTTTTACGACGAAGATTGCTGTCCATGACAAAGATTGCTGGCTTGTCGTATCGCCCACAAACTGCTTTAAAAAAAGAAGAAAGCAAATCAGTTAAGTGATATCGATTACCATATCTAGCAAGAGAATATAAACAGTTCGATTCATAATCTCGCGATATCTAAATATAGATTAATCAATTAATCATCAATCAATTGATCATCAACCCCTCACACGAAAGAAAACGTCGGCGAAAAGCTCATTAATAGTTGATAGAGTGGAAAGATTTCTCACAAATGCACTTGAAAGAATATGATCAAAATTGTGTTATTACGTATGTTACTATAATAAGAAACCGCCCCTCTATGCTTGGCAATATTTAGTTCTTATTAACCGAGCGGGAGGTCTGTATGGCGAATCTTGACCGAGGTCGCCAGTACAGACCGATCGCAGTGAGGTCTGTACCAGCAACCGTGGTCAAGATTCTCCCATACAGACCGACCTAGCTCGATTAATAAGATCTTTATTATATGGCTGTGTCTTATAAGCCAATTTTTTATATTCTTTGTACCTTTTTTTCTAGACCGGTCTAGATGTCGGTCTAGATGGGAAAATCTAGACCGCTTTCAATATTGATTTTAGCCAATCAAATTCGTGAATTCGGTAGTTCCCAGTCCTTGTGAGACAGCCATATAATAATGACCTGTATTAATCCAAAGCGACTAGGCCAAAGTAGTGAAGTTGTAGTCCAAATCAATTGATTTAAATCCAAACCTGTTCTACGAATTTCTTTCTTTTATAGATTTCCACTAGGCCCTCGCTATTTTGACTTACACCTATATGGGCTGCACAATCGGCATAACAAAGCACCAAACTCTCTCCTTAACCTATGGTGCTCTCAAACGAAGGTTTTGTCACAGTCTTCACTGGCAACAGCACTTTTATAGAATTCACAATAGCCTTCCCTTCCGTAGCCAGGAGATATTTCTCCCCTTAAAAAAAGACGTCTATTTAGGAAACCTACCGATTTCTCTCTGATTAAAGCACAACTCACCCTCTACTCAAAAAGCGCAGCTCTCTCTTTAATCAAAACACAACTCTATAAACAAAGCACAGCTGTCTCCCTACACCAAACGTAACTCTCTTCTAATCGAAGCGCCGCTTTCTCCCTAATCATAGCACAACACTCTTCATAAACAAAGCACAACTCTCTACATAATTAAAGCATAGCCATGACAGGAAGGAAAATGCGTGCACTGTAAGTACCCCCCGTTGCCCCATACAAAGCCTTAGAAAACTTTTCTAAGGCTTTGTATGAGGACAACGGAAGGTACTTACAGTACACGCATTTTCCGTCCTGTCATGGTCTACCTAATCAAAGCGCAAGTAAATACATAATCAAAGGACAGCTGTCTTACTCATCAAAGAATAGCTCTCGCCCTATTCAAAGCAACGCTTTCTACTTGGTCAAAAAGCAGTTCTCTATCTAGTCAAAGTAAAGCTCTCTCTCTAATCAAAGTACAGCTCTCTCCCTAATTGAAGCGCACATCTCTTCAAAATCAAAGAACGGCTGTATTCCTA